TAATAGAGTTTAAAATTCAGCACTGTTAAGACCTCAATTTGTAGCCTGCTGCTGTGTAGCATCGTTGTGTCCTTGGCAAATAAAGCGGATGAGGTCAAACTCAGGCCTTGCGTACAGACTTTGACGGGATCTCACAAGTGTGGTGTTCGTTCCCGTCCCTGGGCGCAGAGGCGTAGCAGTCGTCCCAGCGGCTCGGGCCTTTTGTCCATCCACCGTAGTCTGTCTGCACGAGCTAGTGCTGAACGCTGTTGAGGACCGTGCAAGGAGCCAGGCAGCAGGCCGATACGGGGGCACCTGCTCCGTAAGAACCTCGTTCTCATTTTTATAGACTGCTAAGATCATTTCTAAATGGAGTATAAACTCGCATGACCCCGAGTAGTCTTACTAGCTGCGTGCATTTGAAAACTCGCCTTATGTTTTGGTGTTTCTCGATCTGAACAATGTCCTCTTCGTTTTGATGTGTTGCCTCGTGGCTTTGTTAAATGCTCCCCCCTTTTTTTTTTTCTTGAGCTCAAGGCCTGCTAAAACCTCTGAAGGGCGTTTAAATGCTTTGCCAGAATTGAAGTGGATGCTCTTTCCTGTTTCAGAAATAATCTTTTGATTCCCTCTTTATATTTATCTAGTGTTAAGTATTCGCGGTATTCAGGAAGAAGATCCCCCAGATGCTCAACTAATGAGACTAGATAACATGTTGCTGGCAGAGGGTGTCTCCGGGCCCGAGAAAAGAGGAAGAGGAGGACCGATGGCTGTAGCAGCAACATCAGGTGGCTGTCCAAATGACAATAGCATTGAACACTCTGACTACAGGGCCAAGCTGTCACAGATCCGACAGATATACCACTCTGAGCTAGAGAAATATGAACAGGTGATCTTTCTGCATGGAAGAGTTTTTATCATCTCAATTAAAAATAACCGTTTTTTCCTTTGGTGTCGGTTTTAAGAACAGAACAGGAAGTATAATGAATTCAGGTGAACGCGAGGATATCAAATTCAGTTGAAAACTTATCTCAGTGTTCCAGAAGTAAGGTGAAGACAGAGGGACCGGACATCAAACTAAAGATAATAAATGTCTCGTTTATCTTTGTTGCCGTTTTTTAAGAGTAAATAGAGTAAAGCTGAAACATGGAAACTCCTCTGAAGTTTTTTTGGATATATATTCTTGTGGGGGAAACGAATTCTAGGTATCTTATTGTTTGTCGATACAAATGTATGTGTTTTCAGGCCTGCAGCGAGTTCACCACCCACGTTATGAACCTGCTTAGGGAACAGAGTAGAACAAGACCGATTTCGCCAAAAGAAATAGAGCGCATGGTGAACATAATCCACGGCAAATTCAGCACCATCCAGATGCAACTGAAGCAGAGCACGTGCGAGGCAGTAATGATCCTGCGTTCGCGCTTTCTTGACGCAAGGTAGGAGAGAACAGGATCTGGCGATAACTGACGTTCAAGCCTGAACGTCTGTTCTTGCTTGATGCCAGCGATTGCGTAAGAAATCTCGAGTCCGTCATTCCCAGTGTTGATCTAGTTTAAATATGAAGAACTCGCCCCCCGTTTTGCTTGCTAGGGTATACTTGACATCAACATCTATTTCATTCCACACAATTCTTATGTTCTCCTTCAAACCACGTGTATTTTAGACAAAACGAGAAGCCCACGGTCTACTCTGTAACACCATTTAAATAGGAATAACTGATATTTTTGTAGGCGTAAACGACGTAACTTCAGCAAACAGGCAACAGAAGTACTGAATGAATATTTTTATTCGCATCTGAGTAATCCTTACCCCAGTGAAGAGGCCAAAGAAGAGCTAGCAAAGAAAGGAGGCATCACAGTTTCACAGGTATGAAGTGTTGAAGGGTTTAGCATTTTCTGCTTGAAGCCTAGTTTAAAAGGTCTCCCTTGCTGAATGAATATTTTTATTCGCATCTGAGTAATCCTTACCCCAGTGAAGAGGCCAAAGAAGAGCTAGCAAAGAAAGGAGGCATCACAGTTTCACAGGTATGAAGTGTTTTATCTGGAATTCAGTGACTTTTTTTTTTTTCCCCTTGAACAATGGTTTGGGTTTTTTCCCCCCATAGTTAGCAACAGGCTTCAGTTACTGGTACTTTAAACAGGATTTGGGTTATTCTGAAGGGTTTAGCAGTAGGCATTTTCTGCTTGAAGCCTAGTTTAAAACGTGTCCCTTGCTGGTAACTTCCGAATATAGTGGAAAACGTAATAATTTGGTAAATACTAACAGCGATGTATGTCTCCAGGTTTCCAACTGGTTTGGTAACAAAAGAATTCGATACAAAAAAAACATGGGGAAGTTCCAAGAAGAAGCTAATATTTATGCTGCAAAAACAGCAGTGGATGCAACTAATGTCGTGGCTCAAGGCAACCAGGCAAATTCTCCCTCGACACCAAATTCAGGTGAGTGAGAGCGCCGGCGACGAGTCTGTCTGCTTGAAAGGCTCTTAATTATTTCTTGTGACAACTGGTACCACGGAATACCGGTGTTTGAAACGGTCGCAGGGTTTCTTTTTCTTTTAAACTTAAATAATGTAATACTCATTGAAGAACCATTTTTGGTGGGTTTTATTTCTCATTAAAGCATGTTTGTTTTTTTCAGCTTCCTCTGGCTCTTTTAAGATGACAAATTCCGGAGATTCGTTTATAAACTTGCAGTCATTGACTTCCTACCAGAGCTCCCCCGTGGGAGCCAATGTGCAGTCGCAGGTCAGTAAGGAAAAAAAAAAAACCCCGTACTTCCAGCAGTGAGATAAATGTCAAAATCCCATTTCTCTGTCCTTTGAACGGGGTGAAACCGGTTGCCCAGGGAGGTTGTGGAGTCTCCGTCCTTGGAGATATTCAAAACCCAGCCTGCTCAAACTGACCCCGCTTCGAACAGCAGGGTCGGATGGAGTCATCTCGTGTTTTGTTGTTTGTTTGTTTGTTTGTTTGTTTTAAGGAGTTTCTTTTAATACCAGATAGGGATGGATTCTTCTGTCTCTGGCCAGCACTGGCTAGGATGCAAGAAATGACTAGAGTCAAATTTCTCAAACGAGTCAAGAAACAAACCTGCTCAAATGTGTATTTTCTTTTGGAACTGGAATTTTCTCTTACAGAGTTAACCGATACCTGAATTAACCTACTGCTATTCTTCTATCCCCTTAAATTTACATTAATGAATGAGTATTTTCTCATTTTAGAGTCAGTCTTGTTCCATATAAGTAGAACTTTGCTTAGGATTTGTGGTTAACGGTATTGTTAAAGTCATTTTAAGCTTTCTGCTGAATTTCTAAATCCATCTAACTGCATAAAATCTGTTCCTCTGTCATAAAAGTTACAGGTGATAGGCACGATACTAGGCTCTAATTCTGCTTGATGATGAACTAGCTAGGTATAGCTCAGTTAATAGCAAGAACTGCAAAGAAAACTTGTCTTCCTGCAAGAAAACCTGCCCCTTCTTTAAAGAATTTTTGGCCCAATAGATCTGTACCACGTACTACTGCATTTCTTTAACTTGACTTTTTGTCCTTATTGTTCTCATCGTGTGGGATCTTGTTCTAGATGGATTCCTTACATCATGTCATACACCAGACAGGACGATATGACACAATTGTGGGGAATCCCTTGTATACGACGCAGCGCATAGATGTAAGATGTACCGAGGTATTACTAGAAACACAAATTCTGCCTGAGATTGGTTAACGATCTGTGAATAAATGTTCTTTTCATTCCCCCTGACCTCTCTGATGCGGGGCTAGGAAGAAGCTGGAAAAGATGTAGTTTAATACACCAGCCTTTCCCTCCCAGAGACCGGATTTAAAATTTTGGCTTGGGTCACCAGAAAATTTGTGCGCTTCAGTTAATTCTTGCCAGAAGGAGATGGCACTAGGAGTAAGAGTAACACCATAAAATCTGGGGGTGGAGAGGTTTTACAGAATATTCGTGGACTGTGCTTTGCCAGAGCCGATACGTAGTTATTTCCTTTCAAAAGCACTGTGGCTTGTAAGGTGTAAACATATAAAGGCATACTTTGTTGTCTGCAAGTGGTTTCTTAAAGATTTAATGAAACGATGTATTTATTGTCCCTTCAGGCTAATGGCAGCTGGCAGGATGCTACCACCCCTTCATCAATCACTTCACCTGCTGGAGACCCTGGAAGTGTTAATTCGGATGCGTCTAATTAAGTTTTTAGGACCTATTGATGAGAGGAAAGAGGTCATTAGTGTAATTTGTCAATGTTGCTCTTTTGCCAATACTATTGTTTATACAACTTGACACACAGCTAATTACCTCAGAAAAAAACCCTGGAACCAATAGAAGATTGTGATTACAATGATACCTCTCTACCTCTCAGCCTCACGCAGTTGAGTTCTTTTTACTTATGCCCATTGGGATGTGAAATTGTTTTAAAAGAACTTGCTTCATTTTCCTAACCAAATTCATTTTTTAAAATATGGATTTTATGGTAAGAATCTGAAAGTGTCTCTTCTAGAACTTGGCATTTGTCTCAAGTTTTACAGCTTAAGAAAATTGACTTATTTTAATTTCCATAAAGTTTTTTACTATGAAATTTCTGTTCTAGTTGATAGCTACTAACAGTTAAACCCCCTGTATTGTAATTGTATGCGTTCTCTGTATTGTAATTTTGTATAGGAAAATAAGCTTTTCTTAACTAGAATTCATTCTGAGCTAATTAATCAGAACGTTGCTTTACCAAAACTCTCACTGGACTTTGCTCTCGGGTAGGACCTTCCATCCTGTGTCATTCCACGTACTTCTAATTTAATGTCTAGTGAAAAAAAAACAAACAAACAAAACCACCTGACTTCCCCATGGATGATAGGTTTTTGTGCATTTCTGCAGCTGTTAACACAGAGTCCACCCCTTTCAGTTGAGATTTTATCAAAGATAATAAACTTCCAAAGCTTTTTTTTTTTTCTTTTTCTTTTCCTTTTCCTTCCTAGCTTTCCTCACCTGGGCTCCCAGGCGGCCGGGCTCCCTGAGGGGATGAGGGAGCGGCGGGCTCCCTCGGGGAAGGGCGGGAAGCCGGGGCGGGAGGGGCGAGGGGGG